TCCTCTATCTCTGAACATCCTTAGCACAGCAGGCAGTATATTCCTGCTTTGTTCAGCAGATTGCTTTGGCAAATATTTCTCCTTGCACACAAGCCTTTACTTTTAGGGCCCATATGTTTTGACTCTGAAAAGCAAATGAAAATCCAGCATGGAAATATGGATTATTCCTAAGGCGAAGAGGGACTGACTTTCTGGGTTTCTGCAGTCTCTGGACTTGTGCTCTTCTGATGTGTGTATGGATGGATTTTCAGAAGGTTTGAGCCGTTGCAACACAATCTTATCAATCATATCAACAAGGTCAGCTCATCAGCAAAGCTGCTGAACATAAAGCCTGTTCAAGGTAAGACCAAAAATGTTTGCAGAACTGACCTAAAAGTGCACTGGCTTTTCTTTTTTAGTGATAAGAGTCCAAATGCTGGGATTTTCCAAAAGACGAGGTCTAGCAATGTTTGAGGAACCTGACCAAAGAGCAGGAACACTCCAATCGCTCCCAGCTCTGGAGACCAAGATAGTCAGTGCAAGAGTTTCCCAAGCTCTCTGATGCTTGCTCCCCATGTGTGCCTGGCTTTTCCTGTTACCACAGAAAAATCRCAGCTGTTTCCACAAATTCTGACATTCCTCACCCCACTTCCCTATCCAGTTCAGCTTTTTGGTCTAAAGYCCCCTATTCTCCTAGCAATAGCAGCTTGCCCTTATGCGTCACGGGCCAGGGAGCTGCCACTCTTTCCCTGGGAGGCATTGAAACAGGAGGGGTTTGTGTCTGGGTGCTGCTGTAGCATGGCTGGCTGGATGTCCTAGGAATGTCCTGGCTTTTCCCCAGCCTTCCTCCTTCGTGTGAATCCCTCCATCTCTCCGTGCATCACTTCTCCATTCACAAAAAGAGACCGTTCTCGTTTCCTTGTCCTGTTTTCAGAGCAATTTTTACATCAAGGAGCATCTCCTAGCACATGAGCATGCAGGGCATATCAAGGGTCATAATCTCCACTGAGATCTTAGCTGGTGAAGGCAGATGAGAAGTCGCTTTCAGGGTAGACAGTTCCATTCTTACAAATGCATTTCTTGCAGTCAGTGTATTTTATGTGACTTCTGTGCCCAGTGATTCCTCCATGGACAACTCTCCTCTCTCCTGCATCCATTGGCTTTGCCAAGTTCAGGGCTCCAGGGAGAAGCTGTTCAGGGCAGGTCTAATGTGAGTCACAGTGGGATTTTTTTAGACTTTGCTGATCGATACTTTGATTTGTTCGTAAGGGAAAAGTAGCAGGTAATATTAGGAGTGGGCTTTGTGCATGGAAGTAGTGCTTTTTAATTAACTCYGTTCATCTCAGCATCCACCCAGCAACTAGCAGAAAGCTCAGAGACGATAAATAAGGTAGCTCTCCCATCATGGCATTTGAAGCATGTAGCTTCTGGGTGGCTTTCCCCATGCCTAGGTTGCTTCTCTTCCTCCCCAGCGCACCTAATTACAGAAAAGACAGGAAATTACTCCTTATTCACACCAATACTGGGGTTTGACTATACCTGGATGTTCTCTTTTCCCCCAAGTCCCTAGTGATATTTTTTTTCTGCAAAAGGAGGGAGAAAAGTTGCATTCTTGGCACTGATTCCTTTAGAATCCTCTCCCTTGTCTAGACAGGAGATGTTGTGGCCTGCCCTTAGCCTGACAAGAGACTGCAAGGCYGTGTTGATGTCTCCTTTCCCATCCCCAGCATTGTGGAAGGAGGAGGTTGCTGCTGCTGCTTTTTCTCCAGCCACTTTGAGCAGCCTCAATGGCCATGGGCATCAAGCACTGCCCACCCTACTGCAGTAGGGGGAAGCTCCAACACGGAGATCCAACTGGAAGCTCTAGCTAGAACTGGAAGGAGATGCACAGATATTTTTAGTCTTAGAAGGTGACCTCTCTACTGCAAGAAGTAAGCGCATTCATGGACGGYTATTTCTGGCATTGTCCAGCCCTTCATGTGCACACTAAGAGAGTGACCCAAAGTGACCCAGTTTGACCCAAAGGAAGGTTTTATGGTAGCTCAATGGCAGGAGAAGGTGCAGTGTTCTGCTGCCACAAGCATCACTGTGTGGACACTGAACTGGAGCAACTGAACCTGTTTCACCCTTAAGACATGACCTGATGGGACCCAAGTCACCTCCTTCAGCACAGAGAGGATTGAGCCTGAAGGTGCTGGACTATCTCGCTCCTAAGTGCACAGCAGAGGTTTTCCAAGTAAAATACTCTTTCATTGTTGAAAGAATACACACACTCACACATGTTCTAGCAGATATTTTTTTTTTCTTTTTCTTTTTTTTTTTCCTAGGCAAATAGCTCCTGCAAAAATAGAACTCTAAAAAGAGTCTGAAAAATAATTAAAAATAATAATAAGCAGAAAAATCCAATCATTTCCCCAGTTTCTCTGCTAGATGTTTCAATTGCATTTCAATGCAATTTCATTTTGAAATTTCCTTAAATGCAATCATACTCCTCTTAAAGGAGTCAAAAAAAAAGTGCTCAGAAGTAATATCTTTTTTTTGGCTCTAAATGAGATTTTATTAACACTTTATTTCTCCCTAGTGAGTAACTGAGAAAATACTCATTTTGGATGTGAAATATAGTTTTTAAAGACATTCATTTATTATAGTTTCCCTATTCTGATACAGAACCAGAAAACCAGCTAACTGAACAGTTCCTGACTGGTACATGGTAAAAATTTTTAAAAGAACAAAGCAAGGCCATGGATCACCCCCTCTTCTTGAAGTATTACGCAGAGAAAAGAAAAAGAGAGGAGATAAAAAAAAAAAGAAAAATGAGAAAAATGTAAGTGTTTTATCAACCTCTTTATATACAATATCTAGAAACAACAGTTTGAATTATTTTTCTGCACTGTTTTTTTCTCCTGAAAAAATAGAAAGGTCCATTTCCCCCGGTTTTAAGGAAGGACTTGGTGGAGAATTAATAAGGTTATGCCACTAGGAAATGCAAGTTAAGAACCCTGAACAGCTCCAGCAAGGAAGAAAAAAATATGTTCGTTTATAATACCTGTTTGACCAAAATACCTGACTCAGCAGTAGAGAAAACTTCTCATTGCAGAAGTTCAAAAGTACCTCCTGAGCTTTCAATTTGAAAAAAATACCCAATACTTCTCTCATTTGCTAGAGAAGCTTCTATGCTTATAAAAAAAGGCAAAAGTTTTTCAGGGAAGAAGGGAGGGAGGATGGAAGGGAAAACGGAAGACGGAGGTGGGATGTGAGAGGAGAACAAGAGATGAGCAGAGAAGAGAGAAAAAAAAAAAGAAAAAAAAAAAGAAAAAGAAAAGTCCTTTAAAGGTCAGGCCTGTGTTGGAAAGTAGAATAAGGGTGTCCACTTATATAGAGTGCAGAGTTGGGAATGAGGCTTCTTACCCTGATGGCCAGTTAATTATTGGGTGAAACTGAAGACATCACTTCACATTTTTTGTGTCTCAGCTACTCCAAGCATGAAATGGAGGTGGTGGGAAATGATGCTCACTCATCATCGTAAAGATTAAGAGGTGGCTGCAGAAACCGGGCTCTACTGCTCAGCTCCCTAAGGGAGGGTGACCCTCTGGGACATGAGGATAAGAGGTGTAAGAGGCTGCAGGGAGGGAGAACAGAGAGATGATGCCAAAGGCTGGGGTTGGATAGCGTTGGAGGAGGAGGACATGTGGGGATGTGGATGAAGAGAGATGAGTGTGATGGGACACCTGAGGTGGTTTTGGGAGGCCACCTAGGAGACTATTGTGTCATGGGAGGATTAATGTAATGGGAGGATTAATATTGTCATGGTGGGAGAAGGTAGGACGTGTCTCTTAGAGTGGGCCAAGGCCGAGAGTTTGTGTCCCTGTTACTAAGTGGTCAACACCACTCTTAMGTGTTGCTGCATGGGGCAGTTTTGTCCTGGTCCACCCCAGTGGGATGGATGCAAGAGGGGTGGCTTTAGGAGCAGAGTCCAGTCGTGCAGGTTCAWGCCATGCCGGGCTGCTTGCCCTCCGGATCAGAAGATGGATCAGGACCAAGGGCTGAAGGTGTCACCACAAGTGAGCACTCAGCACAGAGAAGGGATTTCGGGTGAGCAGCAGGATGACACAATCACAGAACGATGACAGTTGGAAGCGACCTTTGGAAATGATCCAGTGCAAACCTTAGATCCTTTCTGGGAGGCCAATGGGGCAGTGCCAAGACAACCTGGGGCTGGAGCTGGGCTAAATGGGGCACTAGGGGCCTTCACTGGAGATGCAGGTGCCGGCGGGAGGCCAGGCGGAGAGCGGGGAGCAGAGGGGCCGGGAAAGAGCAGGAGGAGGAGGAGGGGGAGGAGGAGGAAGGCGCTAAGCCCCTCCCCGCTCTTCCGCGGCCGCGGAGGCGAGGCGCGGGCTGCGGGCTCGGGCAGGCGGCTCGGGATAAACCCAGCGGGGAGCATCATCCCCCGGCGCGCCGCCTCCAGTCTGCTGCTGGAGAGGAGGAAGAGAGAGGGGGGAAAAAAAAAGCAATATCAGCAATAAAAAAAAAGGAGAAATAAAAGAAAAAAAAAAAAAGAAGGGAAAAAAAAGAAGAAAAAAAAAAAAAAAAAAAAAAAAAAAAAAAAAAAAAAAAAAAAGAAAAAAAAAAAAAAAAAAAAAAAAGTGGCTCTCCCGCTTGCCCCGGAGGCATGCGGCGAAGAGGAGCAGCCTGCCCGGGCCGGCTGCGGGCGGGAGTGCGGGGCTGAGCCGGCAGCGCTCGCCCC